GCGAAAAAGAACAGCAAATTCTTAAACTTAAAAAATTGGCAGGCGAAGCATCAACATTAGAACCCGATCCATTAGACTCTGAAGAGCACGTATTGAAACGTAACCAACATGTTCTAAAATCGGGTGCTATCAGCGTTTTAAATATGCTGGCAAAGAGCTCGAGTCAGATAATTCGACAATCTGTGGCCCAGGTTTTTCTTAATCTTTCAACCGATCAAAAAAATCGTGGTGCAATCGTTCAACAAGGTGGTGTAAAGTCATTAATACCGTTAGCAACAAACGGGACACAAGAGGGAACTGGTTTCGCGTCACAAGCGTTGGCAAAGATTGCAATCACGATGGATCCCTCTCTTGCATTTAGGGGAGAAAGAGCGGTAGAACTAATAAAACCGTTCTTAACCCTATGCAAGAGTGAGAATGAACTTTGTCAATTCGAAGCACTTATGGCGTTAACGAATCTTGGAAGTGTTGATGACCATGTGAGAACGAGAATCGTTGACGCTAAAGGAATACCAACCATTGAGAATCTGCAATTTTCGGATAATACCATGATTAGACGTGCGGCCACGGAATGCCTTTGCAACATGATGTTTTGTGAACCGGTATATGAAATGTACAGCGACCCAAACAAATCCGCGAACAAAATAAAAATTTTATTGGCATTATCTGATGTCGACGATTTTGAAACTCGACGCGCATCCAGTGGTGCCCTCGCCATTCTCTCGACTAGTCCTGAGGTGTGTCGTATGATAGTAGATCGACCAAGGGGAATCGAGGTTTTACTTTTGTTGCTAAATGAAGAGTCGCCGGAATTACAACATCGAAGTGCTGAATGTATTAAAAATATTGCTAAAGTTGAACAGAAATTGGCCGAATCGCTGGTTAACAATAAAGTGGATGAGCGCTTAATTAAAATGATGAAGGATAGTAAAGTTGAAGCTGTGATAATGACAGCTGCGGAAGCTTTAAAAGAGATGGCAAAATATGGTATCTTGAAGAAAGAGATTACAGAATTAGTCAAGAAATAATAATGGTATAACACTTGTAGTTTATTTAACAATGAAATAATTTAAGTTGAAAGTTATTATCATCGATAACAAGCACCAAGTTTTATCTTTGAAAAAATCTTTGTGTTTTGGAACAATACTAGCAAAAATTGTTATGCACATTTAATTTAATTACTCATCATCATCTTGAATTTCGTTAAGATGTATCCATCGCATCCCCTTCAGCTACTGTTACCGTACTTGAATTGAGAACCGCTGCATACAAACAACATATACTCTGAATCAATAACTTTGGTTTTCTTTTCAAAAAGAGAGATCAATAGGAAAAACAACATACCAGTCGATCCACGCGCAAATTTATATGAACGACATTTTGGTTCACGTTCAGGTTTCGAATACTCCATTTTCAATTCGGTTTTACCTTTCTCAATTATTGCAATGTTCACGGCCCCTCCGGATCCCAAATCATTAAAAACACCGGCCTCTAGAGCATCTTTGACTAAATCAATCGCTTCTTGACGCTATGAAATACCAAATGCAAAGATTTAGAGAAATTATTACCCCATTGCTGCTGGAAAGAAATTAATAATAAATAAAAAAGACCTCCATATCTTTTTTCCATCGAGACTCCAACATTGACATTGCAGCAAGCGAACCACTTCCCATAGTTGTAAATGGCACATTATCCGTATTTCCTTGTGATGCAATGGTATATAATTTAGGCCCAGTTACATCATATCCACCAAGTATAAGAAATGCACTAATATTTCCTTGATGTCTGAAATAGGATTGAATTTTTTTAGTACCAATTTACCGAATCCAATGAAATCAATAAATTACGCAACGTAAATCTTCTTACTTGAAAAGGATTCGTTTTAACAATGTCAAGGCAGTAACTACCCTGCTCTCTCGACCAGTTGACAATCTATGCAGCTCCAATTGAGAGCTGACTAAATCATTGGTAAACTTCGTGTCGGCAGCAGTACCTTTTTGATTTAAGAAAAGATAAACTTTAGCATGAACTTGTAAAGTACAAGCGAAATTGCTAAGGAATCATACTACCTGCTCCACAGCAATTCATATTTGGAGCCAGATAATGAATTTTAAAACAGTTCTTGTCCAAAACTTGTTGATCAGCTGTGGCACGCGTATCAGCTCCAATAACGACGCCATCCTAGTTAAAAATACAATAATTCATTAAGAAATCACGTAATAAACAATTTTGCTTGAATACGTAATTCTTTTCTTAAAAAGGACACGAAAAGGATTCTTAACGAATGGTTGTTTCAAAGAGCTTACTTCTACCTTTATTTTTCAATACCTTGAAAACTATTCCGACAATGGTAGTACCAGTCTTTGTGGGGCTTGGAAGCTTAAGACCTTGTTCTTCTAGGGCAACATTTCTAACAGTAGGAAAAGAAAGACCAAAATAAGCTCCGGATTTTTTTTCTAGTGTTTAACAAGAGTTGAGAAAGCTCTACTCGGCTCACTTGCCTCTGATAGTTTGCAAAATTGAACCCTCCTTTGGGTAGCTCCAGTCTAAATGTCATTATGAAAGGTGAATAGCAATAAAAAAACTCGAACTATCAAGTTACGTAAACATCTTACGCATTTTCAGCTCACACGTGACTCACGGGAAGTGAAGAAATTTTTTTTTACCGTATTGTCAGCATAACACCATTTGATAAAAGAACGGGGGTTCTAGCATGAATTTCGTTCAACCAAGAATAAAATCATGGAATTCAAACAAATATTTTATCAGCTGGTTCAAACGATAAAAAGAGAAAAGAGTTGAAGTAAATAGCGATAAAAACGATGGCATGTATTCAAAAGTAAATAATCTGACTTGTTCATCCCAAATAATTGTATTAAATATGATGATTTTAAATAATGACAAGCATATGTCTGAATTCATCTGTGTTGAAATTTCAAAAAATCTCTGAATAATCTTTGGATAATAATTCTTTTTGTCAAGTTGTATTTTCAAGAACTAATTCTTCCCTAATTCTCATATTTACAAAATTCTCATATTTAGATGGTGATCAAATTGGTAAAAAGTTTCAAAGACAAAAAATGACAGAAACAAACACCGTAATCATTCATTTCTCATTACCGGAAATTTGTGTCGACAATGGCGCAAGTTCATTTCAATCCTTTAATCTCGATGAATGTTAGAAAGAAAATTGTGGGATTAAAGGACAAAAATCAGTCATTCGCAGAACTTTCATTGATCTTAACAAGAAAACGTTGACATATACGCTCTTTTTTTCATTGTTTACGCGCCACGCAACTAGCAAAGTACTTGACCTGATCCTGAACACTACTGAAGAAAAATCTTGCCGAGATTGTTGAGATCTATAAAATCTACGGTAAATACACAAACATCATCATCTACAAAGATTGCTGATTTTTGCTAGCATTAGGATACTCAATGTCATCATGGCTCTTATTAGACTTTTAAATAGAGGTCGAAGATTAAATTTCCATATTTTGAGGACATTTATCTGACCAAGAGAAAAATATATATAAAAATCAACTTTATTTTTTTGTTTACGAGCATAATGATTAAAACGCCCATTCTCATTTTTATAAATATACAGGCATTTCTCAAAACTGTTTCTCACCTTTTTTCATTTTATGAGATAAAAGAATACATTCTAATGATAGTGATACAATCTAATTTCTTGCCTAATGACTAATGAGACTAAAGTTTCTTGGCTTTCAAAATATACAAGTTTAAGGAGAACATTTATTTATCAGTATCAATCTTAAAACTTGGCTCTTTCGAGTTTGTTCAAATTTTACATTCTTGACTAATGCCAAAAAAGTATTTAACCGTAAACAATTATGTATGGTATGAACCTTAACCATGGTACCCCACGCAATCAAATGGCATGACTCTTAATCAAGGTACCCACGCAATCAAAGGATCTAGATACTTCGATTAGCTTGGCATGCATCATCATTAGTTAATGGATTGTTCACCCGTGCATAAATGAAACGTCAACTTTGACAACATTCAAGTTTTTCTGTCATTTAAAACGGTGTTGATCCGAAAGTAGGATGGGGGTCATAACCCGAGTTTTTTTTGTTGATTAGAATGAGAGTTAAGTACTATATCTATCTAGTTATCCTAGCAGGGTGTGTTGTGTGTGTCATGCTTCCTGCAGGTATATCCATCCATATGATCAAGAATCGATTCTTAATTAGGAAGTGAATCCAAAAAATTAATCCGTAGATAGATTAGGACTTTTTTGACGGATTAGACTTTGAGCTAGTTCCCTAATTAAGTAACTATAAAACTTTAAAAAAAAACCAACGCAAATTTTCTGACAACAAATAAAAAAAGAATTGGAGTTTCCTAATTCGCCTGAAATGTGGAGAAAATCGAAAAATAAAGTTTAATCGATGATGTCGCAATAACACACATGTGATTGATGCTGAAGTAATCCGAAACACGTAATTTGATAGACATGAAGATCAAGCTGAAACGGGATGGGGCCCAATGGTGCCATCTTACTTTTTGCATCTCAAGAACATTCTCGATGTTGTTGTCAATATCATATTATATATGAGTCAACACATCCGGTAAATAATACTACACCGCACCACATATCGATATACTCCCCAAATCCCTGATTCAAGCGGAGGAGTAAAAACACACAGAAGATTTCACTCAGCATCAAAATTTTCATATAATATCCCAGATTTCAATGACCTTCAATAAATGAATATTGACAATGCCACTCCCTTAACAGGAAACACGTTTACTCTTTATATCCGACAAATCGCATCTAACTTGAGCGGAATCTAGCTTTTGGTTACCTCATTAACAATGACATAATAGTCACCTTGGATCGAAATTAGAGCCTCAAACGCGGAAACATCGGTAAAAGTTGTTGGGATCGGCAAACAAAATAACATCGGCATTTTTTTCTCTTGTTTGTTCTACCTCAACACACATTTGAGATATTACATAGCGATAGAAACCATTTTCGCTTTTTTAGTTATTGTTTTTTTTTCTCCCAGTCTGTGCGTATGCTTAAACCTCAAGTCATGATAACTATAAAATCGTCGTTGAATTTCCCACCAAAAATCCCTTCATTCAAAATATCGTAAACTTTGTTTTCCCATATCTCTGAAATAACATAATCACATTTCAATGTCTTGCTCGAAGAAAAATTCCCCCACCACCTCACTTTACCTATTGTGTTCGTAAAAGCTTTTTTATTTTTTCGATATTGGGTTTTCCTAGTTATTGTTATTGAACTCTGTACAAGTCTTAATGCATATAGGAACTTTTAACGACTCTAGTTTTCTATTTTCTATTTTGCCTTTTATATTTTCCTTGTATATTCTCCTTGTAATTAGTCGTGAATCGCGAAAACACGTGAAGACTTTAACCTTTCTTCCTACTATTTTATTATTTTATTATCGCTATTATTGTTATTATTATTATTATTATTATTTTTATTCTTATTAATATTTTTATTCTTATTAATAATAATAATAATAATATTATTATTATTATTATTATCGACTACCACTATTATTTACTATCGTCACTAATAAATATTAATATTAACTAACTGTGGTAGTGGCGATATTGGTATCATATCACAAATTCAAAAGATATTGCTCAACTATTTTTATCTCATAGCGGCCTTCAAAAATCACTTTCACCACCCACCCTTATACATTATGTCATCTCTGGCAACCACAAATAAACAGGATAGTACTGGCGGCGATTGTAACATTAACAACAGTCAAACAAGGTTAGGCTCAGTTCAAGAAACAGCGGAGAAATTCATCCAACAGTCGGGTAAAGGAAAAGAGAGGGAGTTAGTGGTCGGAGGTGGCGAGGGGAATGACTACGACATGATTATGTCGGCGGCCTCTGACGAGAACAGGAGGTCAAGAGAATCGTCAAGCTCTAGTAACGAGAACGAAAGGGAAATGGACGAATCTAGCAACGACGCGAGTAACACTAGCAGTAGCGACTCGAGCTCAAAAAAAAGTAAAATTTCCTCGTCTACAACGGACGCTTGGTTCCAAGAATTTAACTCCAACGTCAAAGAATTAAATCAGTCATTTGACGAAGACGGTGAGTAGTGATCTCGGCAAATTTTAGAACGACCGAGGTGCAGACATTTCTCCGATCAAGGATAGACTATCCCCTTGCAACCCTTTAATTAGATTAAATAAGGTTATGACAGGCATGAATTGAGAAAACTATATATATTTATATACACACGCATATATATATATCAATTGAACTGATCAATGATATACACATTGAATTTTTTCAGACAGTGAAACTCCCTACTCTGTAAATCCATTTCAAAAATCTCATCCCCCATCACAATCAATCATCTCAAAGCATCATTCACACGCGCAAACTAATCATCCTCATCGTGTTGCTTCTGGACGCGACAACGTTAGCTCAACGAGACATGGTGCGCATCACGCACAAGATAACACGTCGGCCGCTAGCGATTCGTATCGATCCGTGATTGACGATCTAACCTTAAAAAGTAAGTTTTTCGAATTCTCGGTCGTTCTTTTACAATGGTAAATAACTAACATGTATTATACAAAAGATCAAAGACTACGACAAAAATTACGAAAGTTGGAAAGACTCAACGAGAAATCTTTGCACAAGGAAAAATTATTCGAAGTCCGATACTTTCAGATGCCTAGGTGAGTGAATCACGTGATAAACACGTCGCGTGAATCGTGTAACTGGTAGTAATCGTGTTAAATACGATATAGACATAAACGTCAAGAATTAGAAGAGTACCTTAAAGATTTCGCAGCTCAACTTCCGACACCGCCACCAAGCGGAGCAACCTCATCAAGCAACAGCACTTCGCGAACATCATCTGCGCCACCATGGGTGTTAGACAATGTCCAAGTAAAAGGAAGCAATAAAGCCAAAATGAAACAAGTTGTACAAGCGATCGAAAAAGTGTTCACCACGAAACCTTTGGGCGATGATCACTATCTAAAAGATCAAGAAGAAGCAGATCCGGATGGTTATGTGTATCTTAATTTATTAACGAACATGGCACAATTACACACAATGAATGTAACATTACCATTCATCAAACAATCGATTCGAACATTTTCAAATTGTTTGGAGTTGAGTGATGACGGAACGAAAGTCCGATGGCGAAGTGGTATTGATCCGAGTAATCGAGCCAGGAGGTTGCGGGTTAGCAGTAATGAAAGTGGGAGCGGAAGTGGTAGTGGGAGTGGTGATAGTGCTGAGAACGTGTCTGCTGGCAGTGAAACGGCCCAGAACGCTGTAACGTCCACACAGTTTCCTCAATCGCCCTCTGAACGATCTTCCAACGCTACCTCATCATCTTCACGTCACACAGCTAATTCAAATATTATTGCGGGAAAATCATCATCATCATCTGGATCAAAACCAAGTCATCAAGATACACACACTACCGTCGGATCTTCAAATTCATCTTCGATAGCTCATTATCGTCCAATGTTCCCCCACCGAAACAACACCTCCTCATCATCCTCATCTTCCGATGAAAATAATAGTAGTGGGGTTGAACAACCGCAAGAAGGTCCCATAATTTATTATGAAGGTGGCGTATTTTGTACTGATTTGAGTCGTGTTGACGTAGATTTTAGCGACAAATTTCCATCCATGTCTCCGGATTCTTCGGAAATGGAAAATTCTACGGCTAATGGGTCACGTAAAGAATCCTCCAATGTTAGGGAAAAACGGCCCGCATTACGGTATGAGCGAGGAACCAATATTGTTTTGGGCTCTAATCCACAGATTCTGGCGGATGATTTAGCAGAAGAGGAGACTAGTAGTGGACAAGAGGCGGACGATGAAGATTCGGCACAGCCGGTGTTAATATCTGATGACTCGAAAACACAATTGAAAATCATTGAGGAGATTGACGGTGACGATGTGAATGGTAATGTTACAAAAGATTTCTTTAATATTGACAATATTACTAATAAAAATAGTAGTAGTAGTAATATTAATAATAAGAAAAATATGATGGAAAATGACTCCTCACTGAAACATTATCACCACCAAAAAGGCACTGGAAACAACAGCAGCAGCGACAACAGAAAAAAAGTTAAAACGGAAAGTACTCTAGGTGCTTTATCGTCATTTACAGAGAATACGGGAGATGAAGACAGTTCAAATGGTGGGAGTGGTCGAGTTTCTATTACTCCTTCACCTTCCAATGAAGATTCTTCACGTCTAAAAATTCCAATTACTCAAATGTTAGCTACTTCTGGCGCTTCAGGAGTTGTACCAGAGGATAATTTTACTGTCGTCGTGAAAACATCACATCCTTGGTCATTTAATAATAAATCGCAATCTCCTCGTCGTCATAAATCCTTTACTAGTCCATCGGGAATGATTAAAGAAATGAATATCAATGATAATGATGATGGCAGTGGTATTGTTGGCACCAATGGCCATTCATCTAGCAAACCACCACATACCATTAGACAAAAAAATCAAAAAAATCGTGATTTAAAACGACAACATTCTGTCGTCTCAACTGAACTAATTCGTCTCCCACCTTCACTTGCACCTCAGATAACACCGTCCCCCCTAGCGGTAGAATCGCGCAGAACATCATATACCAACCTATCAGCGTTAGGATCATCAGAAAATGGCGGATCGTCGGGCTATGGATCATCGTCGTCGTCACAAGCCTTCTCAGAAATGTCCTATGATCCGACTTATGTCCTAAAAAACAACACAATTCTAGCCCTTTCACGAAATCGACGAGAATCTTCACCCGAAAATGAAGTCCAAGATATGGAGCTCGATTCTCCGTCTAGTGACTCTTCTGCGCACGAGTTATGCATTAATCTGGATGCGGAAGAGGAAGAACATGACAATGACGAAAATAATGCGAGTGAAATGCAATCGAGGTTACGAAATAGTCAGGAACCAACGATACAAGCTCAGGATGGATATTATCATTATCACAAAAATAAAATAGAGGAGAGTCAATTAGGTGTTAATTTACGGTTACAAGAGGAAGCAACTAAAGAGCGACGGAAACTGGCGACCGTGATAGATAATGCTCCAGAAGCACAAAGTGTAAGAGTAAGTATCCTGGTTTCATACGTTCGTTGATTGATATTCGTTTTGAATTTTTCTGATTATATCATAATCTTCAATTATCCCGAAATTGCAGCATCTCAATAATATTGTAGCTGAAAGTCGTGCATTAATACAAACATTACCGAACAATGGTGAACAAAATAAATATCATGATCATCCGCATATAAACAATTCATTTACTTTTAGCAAAAATGAACCACCACCGCCAGAAACTCACCTCAATTCGAATCCAGAAAGGAGTGAAACAAGTGAAACAATAGAAGCTATGCGTTCACTTGCTCAAAAGCGATTACAGGATTTAATGAATGCCTCGGCACAACTGAAGCAAGAAGCATCAAAACAAAATTGGAATGCGTTAACACAATCTCATCAACAACAGGTCAACAACAATTCGGCTACGCAAATTCAGCAGTCACAAACACAAGGATCATCAATGACTATAAATTTTTCTGTGCATATTCAGCAATTGCAGCAATTGCAACAATTGCAGCAACAAGGTTTGAATACATTACAACAACAAAATTGGAACGAAACGATGCAAGTCCACCAATCAAATTGGAATCAAATGGCGCAGCAGCAACAACAATCACTAAATTGGAATTCCACGATCCAACAACAGCCACCACA